CCTCTCACACTTTTTTCTTTCTTGGCTGTCATGAGATGAGCAGCCTCCTCTACAATGGGCTTCACACCGTGATATTCTCTCTCCTCACAGGCCCAGAAACAATGGAAGCAAGTGTACTAAAACTTCTGAAATTGGGAACCAAAATAAACCCTTTCTCTTTTAAGTTGCTTTCTCAGGTATTTTGTCACAGAGATAGAAAACTATTAACACATATATCATAGATGATGTTGATATAACTTCATATGGCTGTCTAAGGTCAAATTATGTGGATCTATTCTAATATATTCAGTGAGAATTATTACATTTATTATTGTTATTATTATTATTAATTATTGTCAGTCATAGGGCTTGAACTCTGTGCTTGGGTACTGTCCCTGAGCTCTTCAGCTCAAGGTGAGCACTCTACCACTTGAGCCAAAGTGCCACTTCCAGTTTTCTGGTGGTTAATTGGAGATAAGAGTCTCACAGACCTTTCTGCCCCATCTAGCTTTGAACCATGATCCTCAGATCTCAGCCTCCTGAGTAGTGAGGATTATAGGCGTGAGCCACCAGTGCCAGCTCATTTATTGTTATAATCAAGAAAATCTCATCAACTTGCTCATTCTGCTTTGTATTCATTTTTGATCATTATTTTTTCTTTTTTGTATGCTAGTACTGAGGCTTGAACTCAGGGCCTTGTGCTCACTTGACTTTTTTATTTAAGGCTGCTGCGCTATCACTTGAACTATACCTCCATTTTTGGCTTTTTGTTGGTTAAATGAAAATAACATTCTAGTGGACTTTTCTGCCTGAGCTGGCTTTGAACTGTGATCCTCAGATCTTTGGAATTATAAGTGTCAGCTACTAACACCCAGCCATGATTATTTTCATAGGCTACATTTCTATATAAGTTATTACTGAACCAAAGGTCATTCATAGACATTTACCTCATATTATTATTGACATTTACATTTTATTTTTATTAATTGAATTTTTCTTAATTTTTGGAGGTTTTAAAATTTCAAGTGGTCACATCTGTTTTTTCTTTACCTACAAATTCAGGAAAGTCTTTCCTACATTAATCCAATATATTATTTCCCATATTTTCTTCTAATCATTATCATACTACTTATTTTCTCCACTTAAATATTTATTCTATCAAAATTTACTTGGCCACATAACACAAATAGGAGATTATTTTTGATGTATGGTTCATCAGTTTATTAATATTATTTAAAAAACAATCCATTTATTTTTATTGTTATTATAAAGGTGATAGAGGGGTTACAGTTACATAAGTCAGGTCGTGAATACATTTCCTTTTGACAGCATCACCTTTTCCTTGACTTTCTCCCAGTTTTTTTTTTTCCAGTCCTGGGGCTTGAACTTAGGGACTGGGCACTGTCCCTGAGTTTCATTTGCTCAAGGATAGCACACCACTTGAGCCTTAGCACCACTTCTGGCTTTTTCTGTTTATGTGGTACTAAGGAATCAAACCCAGGGCTTCATACATGATAGGCAAGCACTCTACCAGTAAGCCATATTCCCAGACCTGTCTCATCCAGTTTTTCTCTCCTGTGCCCACACATACATTGTATAGTTCATTTTCAGCATAGTGTCTTCTGCATTTGTTCACCCTATGTCCCTCTATTTCTGTGCTCCCCCTTGCCCTCCTAAAGACAGACAAATGAACAAGTAAAACAAAATGAAAACAAAAACAACCATAAAGAAAATACCTTTTATTTCCATCATCTGGAGTTAAGAATCCATTCTTTAACCTTAAATTGGTAATTCTATCTTTGCCATCACCTAAACTCATGAATTCGTTGTGACCTAGTGCTCTTCTTTCCATTCCTGAACTGTACTGTTGTGATGATAATATTTTTCTTTTTGTTTCACTGTCTGGTAGTACAATGTCCTCTTTGATTGTTTTAAGGAATTATTCTCTATAGGAAAGAATACATTATTCTCTTTACTAAGTAAATTTCAGACTAATTGTGTAAAGAACTTTGTTTACACTTCCGGTTCTGTTAGGATTTTTGTTAGAATTGCAACACATTTATGAAATTATTTGTAGAGAGTAAACATTTGGTTGGGAGAATATGATAAAAATTCTTTTAGCTAATCTTTTTTTGTCACTCAGTAAAGCATGGTAGATTTTTTGGGGGGAGGATGATTATAATGTTCTTATATTTATTCATAGATACTTTATTTATATTGTTCTCTTGAATAGGATCTTCTCAGCAGGTGTTTAATTGTCTCATTATACAACTTAACACACATTTATTTTTAGAAAATTAGATAATAGAGGACATTTTATTTATTTTATTTAATTTTTGCTGGTACTATGCCTTCAACTCAGGTCCTTGAGCTCTCACGGGGCTTTTTCACTTGTGGCTGACTCTCTACCACTTTAGTCACACTTCCACTTTCTGATTTTTGCTGTTAATTGGAGATAAATCCTGAGGATTTGTCTGCCTGGGCTGGCTTTGACCAGAGATTCTCATATTTCAGCCTGCTGAGTAGCAAGGGTTATGCCTGCTGAGTAGCAAGGGTTATGCCCAGCTATATAAATGTATTGAAAAAAACATGACTCACCATCAGACTGATAGCCACTGTTAGTATTTTCTATGTGTCCATCCTTCTGTTGATAGATTTAGAGTCTAACTAGGAAAGTAAGATATAATCTTACTTGATATTGCAAAGCACTGTTGGGTGACTAACTTATACTTTTTGTCTGGCCAGCATTTTCCTTTTGGGAAGATGTGTAACCCTGGGAATCTTTTTTTTTTTTTTTTTTTTTGGTCCGGTCGTGGGGCCTGAACTCTGGGCCTGGGTGCTGTCCCCCAGCTCTTCAGCTCAAGGCTAGCACTCTACCACTTGAGCCACAGTGCCACTTCCGGCTTTTTTCTGTCTGCCTATGCGGTGCTGGGGAATCGAACCCAGGGCCTCATGCATGCAAGGCAAGTGCTCTACCACTGAGCCACCTTCCCAGCCCAACCCTGGGAATCTTTTCTTGGAAGAATCTTTCTTCTAGGACCTGGAATGACTCTAATCCCAAGAGTCCTTGAATTTGAATATACTTATTTAGGACATGGTGATTTTTTTTTTTTTTTTTTTTTTTTGGTGCTGGTTCTTGGGCTTGAAGTCAGGGCATGGGTACTGTCTCGAGCTTTTTATGCTCAAGACTAGTACTCTACCTCTTGAGCCACAGTATCATTTCTGGCTTTTTGGTAGTTAATTGGAGATAGTCTTACAGACTATCAAAGCCTAGTCGGCTTTGAACAGCAGTCCTCAGATCTCAACCTGCTGAGTAGCTACGATTACAGGTGTCATGCCTGTAATCCACTGATGCTTGCCATCAATACCTGGCAAGAGGAGCAGGGTGATTTAATGGATTCTAGCTGGGTGCCAGTGACTCAGGCCTGTAATCCTAGCTACTCCAGACACTGAGATATGGAAGGTTTCAGTTCAAAGCCAGCTTGGGCAGAAAAGTCCACTAGACTCCCTCTCCAACAATAACAAGGATAAAGCAGGTTGAAGGAGTGGCTTGAGTGGTGGAGCACCAGCTGAGAAAATAAACTGAGCAAGCTCAAGTTCAAACTCTGGTACCACCAAAACAAATAAAATTAATTCCTGGCTGGATGTGTGGCTCAATATAGAGGGCTTGCCTAGCTAGCCAGAACCTCTTAAGTTTAAACACTCTATCAAAAAGGATTCCTGATACCATTTGAACCTCCTGATCTAGCTGACTTAAAGCCAGGTTAAATTCACTCATAGGTGTTTTAGTTACTCAGGCCAATAAATGCTATATTTTCCTTAAGTGAGGTTGACTCAGCTTTCTGTCACTTACAAAGTCTCAGCTCCCATGCCATGCACTGGGGTGGCCCTTGAATGAGTTAGTTCCCTACATGTGCTGGCTCCTAGAGGCAAGCAGATGTTCCACAGTGAGATCAGCTCCAAATGCACTTTGACTTTTATCTCCTTTGAGATTAAGAAGGATGACTCTTAGAGACAGCAGCAGTGGGGTAGGGCATGCAGCCACCCTTGAGTTACAACCCAGCCTCCTGACCACAGCTACTTATATGGTGGGTCCCTCAAAATGGCAGAGTCTGAGTGTAGGGAGGTAGGATTACAGTGAAGGTGGTAAAGCCACCTGCCCTGGAGACCTGCCTGCATCCATTATCCAGTTAAATAGCATGGGAAATGCAACTTATGGTAATGAATAAGCCAGCCTAGGCTGGCTGACTAGAATACAGAGAGAAAGAGAGAGAGAGAAAGTGATATTATAATACTCTTGCTTATTTACCTTCACAAAATTACTTCCGTGTGTTTTCTGTGCAGCATCATTGCTTCCTGTTGCGGTAGATCGGTGGTCACTGGGGCTCACTTAGGTCATCTGTAGCCGTAGGGGATGTGCATGCCAGGGCACCCATATAATTTGAGTGTTCTCTGAATTCAATATCAGGTTAGGCGTAAACATATTTATTTAGGATGAAAAAAAGAAATTGCAACAAATTACTGAAGGCTCCAGAGAGCCAGCTGTGAAATTCCTTTAGTTGGCTCACAAGATCCTCCTGCTTAGACATGTTTCCTGGCTGTAACTTGAGGCATTCACAGGACTTTGGCAAGTGGAACAGGGTGGGGGGCTGTGCCTTGAGATTTCAGGGTAAACCCACTTCTGAAGGGCAGACTAGCAATTCCCCCCCCCCTGTTTTCTGTTTGATATTTTAGGGACCAATCAGCAAGAAGCTGGCCAGCCTACATCATTAAATCCTTGGAAAGTTTAAATTAAGGTTCAGGATTCAATCAGAAAGAATATTATTTTGATGTGTGTGTGTGTGTGTGTGTGTGTGTGTGTGTGTGTGTGTATGTGAGAGAGAGAGAGAGAGAGAGAGAGGGAGGGAGGGAGGGTTGGAGAAGAGGCAGAGGCGTGGGGAGCAGAGCCCGCCTGCTTCCTGAGTTCAGCCTTGCTCAAGTGCTCTCTGAATGTGGTTTTCCTCCTAGGCCAGCACCCAGCCCAGAATAGTGCAACTGACTTATGATTGAAGTCTGCAGCTCTGGAGAAGCACGAGAAACCAAGGGCTTTACAGTAAGTACATAGTTGGTTGTTGTTTAAGCCTTGTATGAAAGTCTCAGAAGACAGCTCTGTCTGGGGGATGAGGTCTTGCTGCATTAGGCACAATGTCTGATGTACTCTGTGGACCTGCCTATCACTAAGGCAGCATCATTATATTTTCTTGCAGTGCATGGCTTGGTTAATGCTATGTGTGTACTTTAGATGCTAAAAATGGATTTGAAACTTATTTCTGACATCTTTGAAAAAGTCTTTTCTCTCTATTTTTTGGCTTTTTAAAATTTGATCTTGCAAAGTCAGGATGATTCATGCTGACTTCAAGTTAATGTATAAAGTTATTTGGAAGAGAAGCTTTCTCTCTGGGTACTAATTTCTAGTGGTGTGAGATATGTTTTCATAAGCAAGGTGAATAAGGTTGGCCTGTGCATTCCTTTTGCCAAGTGTGAGAAGTCTAAAGTCCTGGGGCGGGGGGAAACCACCCACTGGACTGGCTCTTGGCCCATTCCATGGGCTGAGAGCCCTGACAGAGACAAACATGTGGAGTGTATCCTGTTATCTGAGGGTCTGACACTAACCTAGTACTCAACATTTGAGCTATACATCTTCCTAGGATGTGAAATTAGATGCCTAAGAAGCCCCCAGATGGCTGTATTTCAAAGAAATGGTAGTGACATTTCTAGGAAGTTATGTGTCGTGTGTTGCTGTGTAGAAAGAATCTTCTACTCCTCCAATGGCCCAAGACTCTTTGACATATCTTCCTAGCTACTTTAGATTTATATTCTGTGTTCTAGAAGTGAAGTTTTTGGTTTTGATTTCCTTTTCCCATAGACTTTTAATTTCTTATTAGAGGAATCTAATTCAGTAAAGCAGGAAGTTTATATTTTAATTTCACTTGGAAAGTGTAATTCCCCCCACCCTGCCTCCAGTACTTTTCTCAGAAGAAGGTAGAGACACATCTTTGTTGCTCCTACTGGATTTCTCATGAACATGGCTTCTTTGTTCCTTCACAACTCCATTCCAGACTCCATATTCTCACACAGTTCTTTTTCAGAGTAGTTGTGTTTCACTTCCTTTTATCTTTCTTTGCCAAGTGAGTTAATACATCCAGTGTTGTCCAAACAGAGAAGCCTTCAAACATGGGGGAAGAAAAAGCCATGTTAGACTTCCATTTGAAACCCTGGAATTTGAAATTAAACCTTTATAACTTTTTTTTAAAAAAACTCATGTCAATTTTATTTTAAAAATAGGTTAATTTTTTAAAGGATAAAAACAACATTTTTGAGGGCTCGCCATGGACAGGCTCAGCAATGAAGCTCATTTGTATTATTTCACCAGATTCTTACACTAAGTCCATGAAAGTGGCTACCTTTATGCCCTTTACTAGTGAGGAAATGGATGCATGGAGAAGTTCTGTGCATTGGCCCATAGGAGGGCAGAAAAGAGAGTAGTTAGGAGGAGAGTGGTGCAGGACACAAAGTCTGGTCTCTCTCAGTCCAGAGGTTGTGCTTTCATATGAAGTTGTTAGCCAAATTTCAAGTTAGAGAAACCAGGGCCCTACCTGAAAAACCACAAGGTTTCTATACTTCTTTCTACCTGTAAAACTGGATATTCTAACATAAATTTTTTAAAATGTTATCCTACTTTCATAATTATTTTAAATATTACTTTTAACTATCTGTTCTTAAAAAGTAGAGTACTTTCCTTTTCTCCCCTCCCTTATTTCCTCTCCCCTTCTTTAAAACCATGAGTCAAGATAAACATTTCTTTCCTTAAGTTGTTTATGTCAGGTATTTTGTCCTAGTTATGAAAAAGGTGGCTAAGAATTGTGCCATATTTTTTAGCAGTTATTTTTCCCAGTCTCTGTTGACCTTTTAAAAATGAGTTTTTAGGGCTGAGGATATAACCCAGTGGTAGGTATAGTGCTTGCCTAGTGTACACAAGGCTCTGTGTTCAATCACTCATACTATTAAAAAAAAAGTGAGTTTTTTTGAAAATTGTGTAGCCATTTGACGTATGTGTGTGTGCATGCGCGCCGCGTGCCAGTTCTGGGGCACTGTTCCTGAGCTTCTTTTTGTTCAAGGCTAGAGCTCTACCACTGGAGCCACATCTTCACTTCAACGTTTTTACTGGTTAATTGGCGATAAAGAGTTTTATGGACTTTCTCAGGCTAGCTGTGAACTGTGATCCCCAGATCTCAGCCTCCTGAGTAGCTAGGATTACAGGAGTGGGCATGTTGGCCCATTTGACATTTTTCCTCGATTAAATCTGCCTGCCCCTTTTCTGACTTTTCTTAATTTAGAGATCTAAGTTTTTTTCTTTTAAAGGATTTTTTTTTCTTTCTAGAATTTTTTTTTTTTTTGGGTCCGGTTGTGGGGCCTGAACTCTGGGCCTGGGCGCTGTCCCTCAGCTCTTTAGCTCAAGGCTAGCACTCTACCACTTGAGCCACAGCACCACTTCTGGATTTTTTCTTTTTGCTTATGTGGTGCTAAGGAATCGAACCCAGGGCCTCAAGCATGCAAGGCAAGCGCTCTATCACTGAGCCACCTTCCCAGCCCATCTTTCTAGAATTTTCTTCGGTGGATGTAGAGAGTTGTTTTAGACTAGCTTTTAAAAAATAATGTTATTTTCCTGGTATTGTTTGTAAGCAGCCCTTGTATTATTTAATATTCAGCTGTAATCTATACACTCAACTCTCCTGTATGACTTTTCTGGATTACCTGTTTTATATGTAGAAACTGTGCCTTCTGTGCCACCATTACATTTTTGTGGTCTGGTTGTTTTTGTTGCTTTTGTAATATATTGGGAAGATGAATTATATGGAGGAATATTGAGTCAGAATAAGGCATTAGTAAAGATTGAGCATAGGAAGCAGATTGCTCAGCCATAATTAACTTCTCTGTTTCTTAGTCCTACTGTCTGTAAAATGGGGACAGTAATGGGGTGTCTTTTTTATGGTGTTTTCAGGTGAGGAAATAAAAACTAAATTATAATACATGCATACCCATACACCTACACACTCACACACACACACATATAGAAAAAGTATCATATTTGTAGATGTATTTATAGTATTTGAAATACTATATTATGTATTTTATACATAAATGTACATTATATATAAAATATATAAATGCATAATGTGAACATATGTACTACATATTATGTACTTAACTCAAATATGTTATTCTTTTCTTTCATGGCTTAAAGCCTGTTATTTATTTATTTATTTTTATTTTGCAGCACTAAGGTTTGAACTTGGGGCCTTGTGCTTGTTAGGTAGGTGCTTTACCATACCCCAGGTCTCATGTAATCTTGGGAGCTAGGGAAGATTGTCTTAGTCATAAAGGGAAAGAATGACACATGCCTTTGTGCACACTAAAACTTGATACACTCTAAAGATAGGTATGTGGCAGTTACAGAGAAATAAATACAACACATGTACCACAAAGGTTGCTCTCTATCATAAATGAAGAATTCTCACAAGACAGAGAAACCACAAAATGGGCAAAGGTTATAAATGGGCAGTTCTCAGAAGAACTATAGATGGCTAGCTGGGCATTGGTGGCCCATGCCTGTAAATCCTGGCTACTTCTGAGGATCATGGTTCAAAGCCAGCCTGGGCAGGAAAGTCCGTGAGACTCTTATCTCAAATTAACCACCAGATAACTGGTGGTGTTGTGGCTCAAGTAGTAAGAGTGCTACCCTTGAGCTGAAGAGCTCAGGGACAGTGCCCAAGCACAGAGTTCAAGCACAGAGTTCAAAGAAAAAAAAAAGAAAGAAAGAAAGAAAAAAAGAAATATAGATGGCCAACAAATACATAATGTTTAATCTCAATAATAATGATGGAACTGCAAATTTAAGTAGTAACCATTTCCCATGCAATAGATTGGCACGAAGTTGGTAACAGAAATAACACCCAGTATGAAGAGGACATGTGGGGGCGAGCATGAGCAATCCCAGTGATAGGGAACAAAAATTAGTAAAGGTTTTTGCATGACAAATTTATAAAATCTATCAAAATGGTATGACTTAGAAAATACTGCATGTATGTCGATATTTGTTTAAATTTTTAAAATTTATTTTAAGAAACCTTAACTATATATTTTATTTTTGACAGTTTTCTATGTAATAATAATATTGTCACATCATAATATTGTCACATCGCAAGAAAAATCAACAATACTTAAACCACATATTTTAATGTGTTATCAAGCTGTTTACTGGGTTCCTTCTGAAGAAGAAGTTAGAGCCATGGCAAGTTGCTTTTTTCTTTTGTTAGCTATACATCTGTGATAGTTTTAAAAAGTCTGTATCTGTATATTTGTGTAACATAAATAAACAAGCATTTGTCCAGACTCACAGGCAAAAAGATTCTTGGGAACAGGATCCTAGATGTAGAATCTCAGGGTTGGGAAGTAGATGACAAATTTTAGGAAGAGTGAGTATTTTGGAGGCAATGGTTTAGGATTACTAAAAGTTTTAATTGGGTTTTACCAAAAGGAGCCAAGGCCCACAGCTCTAATCCTAGCAACTCAGTAGCCTGAGACCTGAGGATCACAGTTTAAAGCCAGCTCAGGCAGGAAAGCCCAAGTCTTATCTTCAATAAACTACCACAAAAGCCAGAAGTAGAGCTGTCACTCAAATGTTGAACAAAACAGCTCAGGGACAGTTCCCAGGACCTGAGTTCAAGCCCCAGTACTAGAAATAAGGGAAGGAAAGAAAGGAAGGAAAGAAGGAAGGAAATTAGGAAGGGAGGGAGGAAGGAAGGGAAGAAAGAAGGAAGGAAGGAAGGAAGGAAGAAGAGAGAGAGGGGGGAGAGAGAAACAAAGAACTTGAGGAAACTCAGTCCAAAAGGCTACAGGAAAAGTTGTAGTGCCGTGGACTTGACTTTGCTAAGCTCTGCCCATTTGTGTGGTGACCCTATCTGCAGGACTCAGATACCCCTAGAGATCATGCTTCCCCCAGCCTTTTCATCCTATGTTGTTTTCATCTCTGTTGTGTTTGGTGGTTGTTTT